GGCAACCAGTAATCACTTTCTGTCTGTATTTTCACATTCTGGACCTTTCATGTACATGGAATCATGTAATATGTGCCCTTTTGAATCTGGCTTCTTTCACTTAGCATAATGTTTTCAAAGTTCATGTTGTGTTGTAGCATGTATCTGTACTTTGTTTTCATGGCTATATAATATTTCATTGTATAGATATACTACATTTTGTTTATCCATTCATTCACTGATGGACATTTGAGTTGTTTCTACTTTTTGGCTATTACAATAATGCTGCTACGAAGATTCATCCAATTTTTGAATATGTTTTGAATTCTCTTAGGTATATACCTGGGAGTGGAATTGCTGGGTCATATGGTAACTCTGTATTTAACTTTTTTGTTATTGTTTCGAGACAGGGTCTCACTCTGTTGCCCAGGTTGGAGTGCAGTGGCTCAGTCATAGTTCACTGCAGCCTCGAGCTCCTAGGCTCAAGGGATCTTCCCTCCTCAGCCTCCTGAGTAGCTGAGACTATCGGCACAAGCCACCACACCTGACTAATTTCTCTTTTCTTTTGTTTTTTGGTTTTTTTTTTGTGGAGATGAAGTCTTGCTATATTGTCCAGGATGGTCTTGAACTCCTGGAATTAAGTGATCCTCCCATCTTGGCCTCCCAAAGTGCTGGGATTATAGGCATGAGGCACCGTACCCAGCAGTATGTTTAACTTTTGTGGGAACATTCAAATTGTTTTCCAAAGTGGCTATGCTATTTTACATCCATCGGCAATATATGAGCGTTCCAATTTCCCCACGTCCTTACCAACACTTGTTATTGCCCTTTTTTATTTTAACCATCCTAGTGAGTATGAAGTGGTAGATACCAGCATTTCTGTACTGAGGCTGGTAGCCTGTAGGAAAACAGGTATATACCTCCAAAAGCCTTAGACAGCCTTCTCCAGTGTACTTCTGCCCACAGTCAACCCTTTTTTTTTTTTTTCGAGTAGAAAAAGGAAAATCCATCTCAGTGAATTTGTGTTATGAGCCTAGCATAGAACAAGTTCATAATTCTGTGGGGATGGTGCAGATGTAACATTATTCCTACCCTCAAGATGTTTAAAGTATTGCTGGTAAGAAGATACCAATGAAATATTTAGACTTAAAACAGAAATAGGTGAAATACAAAACTTTATGGAAGAAAGTGATGAAGAGAAGAGAATAAAGGGGCTTAATATATGATCAGATAGCGGGATCAGACAGTGGTGGTTGGAATTTTCTGGAAAAGTGGGATTTTGATAGACCGATAGGATATGAGTGGTCACAGAGAGCATGAAGAACATTCCAGACAAAGAGCAGAGCTAAAAGGCTGCCTACAGAAGGGGAACAGCAAGGTGTGTGGGGATGAAGAGTTAGGTAAGGGCTGGCGCATGGCCGGTTGCAGACCAGGCTAGAGCGACTGCAGGCCATTGCTCTGAATTTGTATTGGCACTTTATTCCTAGTTGCCTTTAACAATGAATGAAATTCTTGGTTAAATCCCGTTAGCATGTATTTTTGTCCCTGCTGCCTGCCTTGGAGAAGAGTTTGTGAGAGGCACTGAAATAGGGTCGAAGTGTGGCTGGTGGCCACTGCTCCTATAACCCATATAACCTTGGGGCTCTCTGTAGTCCCATTTACCCCGCTTCCATTTCAAACGGGGTTAGATTTCATGTTTGAACTCTGATTCTGCAGCACTGTGTGACAGATACCGACAGAATTGTAAATGCTATGAGAGATGAGCTCAGGCAGCTTCCTCTGCATTGCCAAGTGCAAAGGACAGGACACAGACCAGTTCCTGTCTTATTTTCCCCATGGCCTCTGGCTCCTTTTCGACTGTCTGTCCCTTGACGACTGCAACCACATGTTCTCCCTAGCTTCTCCTTCCAGGCTCGTTGGCTTGCTTCTCAAATCACTAGCCTCTCTGAGCCTCGGTTTGCTTATCTGTGAAGTGGAGGTAACAGTGCCTGCTTTGTTAGGGCCATGGTGAGGTTGCACGAGAGTGTGTCAGTCTCTAAGCACATCCCTGGCACAGTAAATGCCTGAAAGGGCTCAGAGGTCAGAGCAAAGGGAGGAGGCAGAGGGCCACTGAGGATCCTTTAAGAGAGTAGTGTCCTCATGTTCTTAAACAGTGTCTTCCTTTATTTTATTAATAACTATTTAAACACTTATTGGATTAAATGAAACCCAAATGGTAATCATTTTTTACTAATAAATAATACCTACCCAGCTTACATACTTCCAGGTACTGCCCTGTGACATTCCCAGTGCTGCTGGGAGGTGGTGGTCAGCATTGCTCAGTGGCTTGCCTGGGGACACTGGTAGGTGAGCAGTAGGGTGAAGGCGGCAGGGCCCAGATTCTTCCTTTACTGCACTGAACAGTCCGCAGGGTGTTCCAGCCGCAGATTGTGGAGCAGCAGCATAGGCAAGAGGCTGCCACGCTCACTCCCCAGCCTCCCTCAGTGCTTCACCTTTTGCACCTCAGTGCCCCTAAGAGGGGGGCAGCATGGTTCTGGGAGCACGGCGTTGGGCCCTGGGGTTGTGTTTTAAGACCATCAGGTATGCTGCCAGTTTGCCCACTGTGGTTCAGGAGCCTGACTCTGTTTCCCTTTCTCCTCTGCCTTGGGAGGCCTCGCTCATGATTGTTGCAGAGAAGTCCTTGTTGCTGTCTTTTTTTTTTTTTTGAGACAGAGTCTCACTGTGTTGCCCAGGCTAGAGTGCCATGGCATCATCCTAGCTCACAGCAACCTCAGACTCCTGGGCTCAAGCAATCCTTCTGCCTCAGCCTCCCAAGTAGCTGGGACTACAGGCATGCACCACCATGCCCGGCTAATTTTTTCTATATATTTTTAGCTGTCCAATTAATTTCTTTCTAATTTTAGTAGAGACGGGGTCTCGCTCTTGCTCAGGCTGGTTTCAAACTCCAGAGCTCAAACAATCCGCCCGCCTCGGCCTCCCAGAGTGCTGGGATTACAGGCCTGAGCCACCGCACCCGGCCCCTTGTTGCTGTCTTTAATCATTGACTCCTGGTTGTCTTGATGGAAGCTTTCTAAAACTCCCCCAGTCTTAACACTCGGTGCCATCTGGATGCTTTCATTAGCATGTTAGATGTTGATTTCTCCAAGTGTGTGTGTGGTGGGCAGTTACAGTTGCCCGCTGCATGTCTGGCTTCCCAAAGTCTGAGTGAAAAATCCCCAAGCACCTTCCATTTACCCTGGCTCTGTCATTGCATCAGGTGGCCTCAGCCACTCTGAGTTCCCGGTCGCTGCTGGAACCAGCCACCGCAGTCCTGGCAGTGAACTAGCCAAAAAGTTCTCTATTCTCCTGTTTGCCAGAGAAAGTACGAGTTGCTTCTCTCCAAGCAGGCTTTCAGTTTGGTGAGGAGGTGCCACCGTGCATCACAGCTGGTGGGACGTGGGAGGAAGCACAGGCCAGGCTTGCCGCAGACCATGTTGAGCCAGTGCCACCCTGTGTGTGGGGCTGCTCGTTCTCGTGCAGAACCGAGGAAAGCCGCCGGCCCTGCCCACCGCACGTATGGTCTTTCCAATTACATGCAGGAAATAACTGGAAGTGGTCCCTGTCCTTAAGCAGCTTATGTTCTAAGTGATAACCGTTACAGAAGTGCTGTTTTATGTTAACTGTCTCTCCTCAAATACATTATTTTAACCCTTTAATTATTTTCCCCATCTTTAATTTTCATTTCTGAGGAAAGATAAAGAGCGTTATTGCCGATCATGGGGTCACAGATCTGGGAAGGTCACCTAAGCTAACCCTCTCCTTTATTAATGAGGAAACCTCGGCACAGAAAGGCTGCGACCTACAAGGCTAATTAAATGATCAAACCAAAACAAAGACCAAGGTT